AGATATTGAGCCAGTCTACGTTTATAATTCTTGATCATCCCTCGTATTGCTCTTCTCTCACCCATTAGGACAAATAATGTTCCTCACTTAAAAGCGATTGAAGTGACATCGAACATAATAATCGTGAACACGTTACACTATAGGCACATCAATGAGTTACCTTTTCACTTCAAACCGTCTTTATCTTGGGTATGTGATAAAGAGAATAGAATCTATTATATTCGTGTATGTTCATCATTGAAATTTATTGAATAAATTTATATTATGCTTGTCAGAGGCTTGCTTAATATAATTCTAGTCAAGTCGTCTGATATATTTAGTACCGAACCTACGTGTATCCTCTATTTAAACCAAATTATGCCAACATCACTAATTTCCAAACGATAACAGTCTGGTTCCAAGCAGACTTACACTGTACAACATATGGACGGATCGTTAAATTGCAAGTTACAAAGCCTAAACCACGCCCAATATCAGAGAGGCGGTTCTCTTCATCCACCATTAAGAAAGTACGTATTGCTCATCCGTTAAGTTTAGACGGACCCTTATATAGATTCAATTTGGGCGCGACCATACTTATTTTCCGTAACATCACAAACAATGCGCGCGAAACCTACTGGTATGGTAGCGTAGTCGGATCAAGTTTTAAAACGGAAAAAAATCGCTACATATATACAGCTTTTATATTTTTCATTGCAAACGCAAAATTTAGGGACTTTTTATGGTAAGATTTAGATCTTTCGTGAGGTGTTGATAAAAGTTCTTTTGAAATTAGTTCTAGGTTAATCTTACATTTACTGGTCTATAACTTGATCGATTAAAACCACAATGAAAATAATGGATAGTTAAAAAATAGAAAAAAAGGTTTGTGTCTCAATAAAATATTGTATAAGTCTATACAGATTCTATTGTTACCAACCTTAAATAACTAAAAAGGATATGTGATATGTATGCTAAAATCACACACTGTTCAGAAAGAAAATCTGAACTTTCTCACTGATTTTTTTTCTTCAAATTTGTCAAACAGGAAAGTATAATAAAGAAACAAAAAGTTCATATTTGTATCTGAAGCTATGTATGTGTAAAAACATTACTGGTTGCTATTGCTAAGAGACAGCAATTCAAAAAGATGTGTACATATAAGGAAAATCAATGACTCCCAGGGCTGTGCCAACTTTAAAACAAGGGTTTCATATAAACACACTTGGTCGACACTTACAAGAAGATGTTTCATGCTAAATATCAAAGCTCTACCTTTTTGGGTTTTTAAATTAAAGATTTTTAAGCTTTTATTATAGACATATAAGGAAGATTAATAACCCCCGTTGGGCGGAAGATATTTGAACCTAAGGGCTTTTATTTGAACAAACTTGATAGACATTCACTAGAAGATGTTTAATGCTATATATCTGAGCTCTAGCTCTTTGGCTCTTTTAAAAGAAGGTTTTTTAAGTTTATGCTATACACATGTAAGGGAAATCAATAACACCCGGGCTTTAATTTGAACATGCTTGGTAGACACTCACTAGAATATGTGTTACGCAAACTATATTAGTTCTAGCTCTTTGACCTTTTTTAAAGTAGATTTGTTTTTACTGTTGACCTATATACATATCAGGAAAATCAATGACTCCCGAAGCGGGGCCAATTTTGACCCCAGTGACTTTATTTTAACACGCTTGATAGACATCCACTAGAAGTGTTTAATGCTAAATATCTAAGCCCTAGCTCTTTGGTTTCTTAAAATAATATATATTTTTTTATTTTTAAAGTTCAAATATAAGGAGTAAATGACATCCGGGATGGGACGAATTTTCACCAAAGGGCTTTTATTTGAACAAACATGGTAGACACTCACTCACTGGAAGATGATTCATGCCAAATATATAAGCTCTAACTGGATTTTTTACGATGAGATATATTTCAGTTTTGACTATATACACGTCAGGAAAATCAATTACCCCCAGGGCAGGACCAATTTGTACCTAAGGCCTTTTATTGACACTCGCTAGGAGATGTTTCATGCTATATATCTAAGTTCTACCTGTTTGATTGTTTTTTAAAGAAGATATTTTTCACTTTTTACTATAAACTTATAAGGAAAATCAATGACTCCCGGGTCTAAGTGTTTTTTTTTTTCTTCTTCAGTTTTTACTGTATACGAGCAAAATCAAAGACCCCCGGGAATGGGCCAATTTATACCCGAGGTTTTCATTTGAAAAACTTGGTAGACACCCACAAGATAAGTTTTCATGCTAAATATCTCAGGTCTATTTTTTTAAGAAAGGTTTATTTATCGCGAAGACAAGAGTTCTGTATGGAATTTCAGTCTTTGAACAATTTTCAAAGATGACTACCAAACGAACATTTTTGTGAATTTGGGATAAATATGGCTCAGCGGTTCATGATGAGAGTTTAGAATAAAAGTGTACGGACGTATCACGGACGCCGGATAATTGCAATCACAAAAGATTACATTGTCACTTTGTGACAGGTGATCTGAAAATAGAAAATACAATTATAACAAGCAAATTTGTTGAATTTATATCCCCGCCGCGTACTGGTTATAACTTACAACAACAACTGGAGTCATAAGGCTTAATTTACTTAAATCTATCATGACAAATTTTCTTTTTGTAATGATGGTTCCCATAAAGTCTTTTTGAATTCAATCAAGCAGTTGAAAAAATAACAATATTGCTCTATATTTATGCTACACAAAAAATCAAGGGTCATAAATCTGTCTTAGAGGGTCTGACTTGAACAAGGCAATCTCTCATTGGTATTGATTGTTTCAATAACATTTTATTTAATTCCAGTCAGTTATTGCGGAGAATCATTGCATAAACGGAATTCACTATATATACATACCGCATAACTAATCAAGGGCCTAACTTTATGTTGAAGAGTCCGACCGGAACAAGGAAACGACATGCGCATACCCTCTTAATATTGATGGTTCCCATAAAGTTTTGTTGAATTCCAGTCAGTAGTTGCAGAGAAATAGTGAGGAACGATTATTGCTCAATATGCATACTACATAGCGACCGTAATCAATGGCGATAATTTTGTCTTCAAAAGTCTGATTGGAATAAGGCGACGATATGCACAACTCCTCTTGGTATTGATGGTTTCCATAAAATTTCGTTGAATTCCAGTTTGTAGTTGCAAAGTTGCAAAGAAGTTTAAGCGCGGAAACGATTATTGTCTACATGCATACTGCATAACTTATCAAGGGCCATAACTTTGTCTTGAAGAGTCTGACCGAAATAATGCGACGATATGCGCATCTCCCCTTAGTATTGATGATTCCAATTAAGTTTCGTTGAAGTCCAGTCAGTAGTTGCACAGAGAGGACGCGGAAAAGATTATTGCTCTATATGCATACTGCATAAGTAATCAAGGGCCATTACTCTAAGTTAAAGGGTCTGACCGAAAAGGCCTTGATATGCGTATCACCTCTTAGTATTGAAGGTTCCCATAAAGTTTCGTTGAATTCAAGCCAGTAGTTGCAGAGAAATAAAACGACAACGATTTCTGTTCTATATGCATACTGCATAACTGATCAAAGGCCATAACTCTGTGTGGAAGGGTCTGACCGGAACAAGGTCACGATATGCGCATCTCCCCTTAGTTTTGATTGTTTCAATCAAGTTTCGTAGAATTCCAGCCAACAGTAGCAGAGAAATAACGCGGAAACGATAACTGCTCTATATGCATACTGTATAACGAATCAATGGCCATTACTCTGAGTCAAAGGATCTGACCGAAATAAAGCGATAATATGCAACTCTTAGTATAGATGATTCCCATAAAGTTTCGTTTAATTTTCAGTCAATAGTTGCAGAGAAATCGCACGTAAACTATTATTGCTGTATATGCATACTGCATAACTAATCAAGGGCCATAACTCGGTCTTGGTTGGTCTGACCAGAACAAGGCGACGATATGCACATCTTCTCTTAGTATTGATGGTTCTCAATAAGTTGTTGAATTCCAACTAGTAGTTGCCCGAAATGGCGCGAAAAAGATTGTTGCTCTATATGCATATTTCATACCTAATAAAAGGCCATTACTCTAAGTTTTAAGTGGTCTGACCTGAACAAGGCCACGATATGCGCATCTCCTCTTAGTATTTAAGGTTCCAATAAACAAGGTAATGATATGCGCTTCTCTTCTTGATATAGATATTCTTTTCTTGATATATAGATGGTTCCCATAAAGTTTCATTGAATTCCAGCAAGTATTTGCAGAGAACTAGCGCCGAAACAGAATTCGGACGGACGGATTGACGAAGACCAAAGGACAACGCCAAAGCAATATACCCCTACCGATTTCATCTGCGGGGGATGATATTATTAATATGTTATTTTGGTTTTGGATATATTACCTGTTAAGATTTTATATCACCCGAGCCGTAAGGCGAGGGTGATATTTTATCTTGGCAGGTAATATATCCACATATATCACTGCAAAACCAAAATAATAATTTCATTACCCTTCCTCTGCCGAGTTAAGACGATTTTAAAATAAATCATTGCTACTTCAAATGAAACGTCTAAAGAAGATTCCCTTTAGGGTACCCCTTCATCACTACATGACGTCACATAAATACATGACGTGTTTTCTTTCGAACATAACGAATGTAAACAAGAGAAAATGAGAAGTCTGTTGAACGCACTTTTTTGAAATTAATATCAAGCTTTCACAAGGTCACATTTGTTTTCAACACTGATGAGAATATGAATGATTACTCTACTTTGGTAAATATTTATCATTTGACAGTTAAAAAGTGCTTGAAAATCGCGTAAAATCAAACCGTACACGCATAGCCACAGCGCATGTTGTTTAGAACGTGGGTTACTCAACGGGGAAATTAAGTGGGTATATTACCCGTCTGGCTTTCTTTCGGGTGATCAATATCCAATCAAAAAGGCGGAAAAAATCTGGAAGGGTAATAAATTTCTATATCCGACATATGTATCAAAATTGCTTCATACCCTTGTTGTCCGCATTTTTCTTGTTGCAGGATATTTCTCCGAGATGTTTGACGTAATTTCGTTCACAGTAAATGGCAATGCATCAAAATTGCATGAGCTACTTACATCAGAGGGGCCTGATTGGTCTTGAATTTCTCCGCGGGTCTCGGACCCAGTCTCTATCTCTACTTTCTTCATCTGAGCTGCTGAAACAATGAAAAGAAATAGTAAAACTACAACAAGTGATAAGAAATAGTGAAGTGAAACTGCAACCAGTAAACAGGAATATTAAAACTGCAACCAGTGAACAGAAATTGCAACAATTTGACCAGTGATCAGAAATAATAATACTACAACCAGTGAACAGAAATACAAATGTAGTAAAACTGCAACCAGTGAACAGAAATAGTAAAACTGCAACCAGTGAACAGAAATGATAAAAAAAGACAACCAACAAACAAAAGAAATAAAATTGCAACCAGTCAACACAAATAGTAAAACTACAACCAGTGAACGGAAATAGTAAAACTGCAACCAATGAATAGAAAAAGTTAAGCTGTAACCAGTGAACAGAAATAGTAAAGCTTTCAAACAATGTCCAAGATTTTCTTTGATTATCTTGCTCCTCATGCTCCCATTTACCTTGAATACAAATAAAAGTGAAAAGTTATTAGTAAGTCTAAGTAATATAAAATATTCTTGAACTAATCAAGAGACAGCTCAAATGACTGAAAAAGTAAAAAAGCTATGAAAAACTGGATTCCTGTACAAATGACAAACATGTCAACTTTGAAAGTAGTTTGCTATTCTTCCCAAAAACAGGGCTTGTAGAAGAGGCATTTTTAACTTGAATGTATTGACTTTTAAGTCATCTATTACATTTGTACTACGAATTGAACAAACGAATGCAGTTTTCATAATTTATTTTAAGCAGTTTATTGTATGTATAACCAAGAAAAATAAGAGTTAATATACCGTATGAAAGAGAGTGGAAAACATTGGTCACTTGACTAAAATCTACATTCTACAAATACCGTCCTCGGAACCGTTATACGATTTGTTTAAATATCTAAATAAAACCACTTACATATAATAATCACTCGCGATATTCGCGATTTAAACGCCGCAAAAAAGAAATCAACTAAATTAATGGACATATATTTTACGTAAATTCCAGATGCGTTATTCATATTTAAGTTGTAATCTTAATATTAAAGTAGTCCTGTAATCAGACGGTAATAGCTGAAAGTTACTTCATATTATTGAATGTTGTAATCAGGTCGCACATAATCAGTTTTGAATATTGTCAAGGTATCTTTGACTTTGCAAGAACAAAATTGGCAATCATCATCTTGATAATGGTATTCTTCCCTAATATCTAGCTTACTCAGCTTCCATCATTAAATTCAAAGTCTTCATTATTGTTGATAACTTTCATTGTATTTGCAAATATATCTTCTGTATCTAATGTAGTTGTCTTCTCTTTATTATCAGAGATCTCTTCTGTAATCAGATGTTATGGTTTTGTTTCAAGTTTGCTATTGCTTTTTATTCCTGACTTTGAAACTTCACTCATTATTTCAGCTCTTTGAAGAATTTTATTCCAAAGACGATGAAGCATTCTATATGTTGTACGAAATTGTTAGGCATTATGATTGAAAATAAGCATATGACAACTCTTTGTGCTACAAATCTTCTGGAACACAGGAGAAATTCAGCTGTTGTCATGTCACAAACATGTTCTAGATAAATTGCTCTCACCAAACACATGTGAATAGCCAAATCCTAACTTTCTTTTCATTTTTTTATTTGTTTTTGTATACCAAGGACCCATGTAATGTATTCCAATTATATAAAATGGAATACCTTTAGTCACACGGAATTTTAAATATGAGCAAAAGGCTGGTATCTTGTATGGGTCACATCAGCGGTACATCATACATGATTTTATGACTGATTTAATAATAGCACAACAATGCGGAAATCAAAAGCGATTTCTTACTATAAAAACGTTTTTGAAACTCCGGTGATTCTTTATGAGTTTAAACTACAATGAGACGTGTATACCACTCATATTTTGGAAGAAGAATCGGACAATGTGCACTTCCACTTATGTCAGCATTTTCAAGTCGACGCTTGAAACATATGATTCAATTTGTATCAATGTAAATTCCAAGCTGTTGTTGAATATTGTTTTTCTAACCACTAGCAATGGCATCAAAGACGTCTATGTAATGTAATCTTTAATGTGTCTTTTCCACATGTTTTCAGACTTTTAAAGTGCGTCAGAAGATATATATTATGTTGTTTTTTATACTTTTGTAGTTAATTCACATATATAAGCACACGAGCAGCTATTTCCTGAACATCAGACTTGCATTTCCATTAGTTTTACCTATGCCGGAAATTTCATCTCGAATGGGGGTGCCAGATAACTAGCGTGCTAAACAATGGCGTCATTTTGGTGCATTTTATATTTGAACCGCGTTAAAATAACGTTATTTTGGCGCATTTTAGAATGGAACTATGTGCTTAGGATGACATCATTTTGCCGTTGTTATTACTGTTGTAAATTCATATTCTATTGTACAAAATAGTCATGGATGCAATGACATTAATTTCCATGTACAAATATCTAATTTAGGTAAAGTATTTAAATATTAAAGAATATGCAAAAAAAGTATACTTAACATATGTATGCGGTTGAGATCGGAATATTTGTCCCTCGGGTATCTGCCAATGGGACAACTATTCTGTTACCGCCCATAGGGCGGGGTACCCTAGGGACGGATCAAAACCGTCACATAAGACAGATATTATAACCCTAAGTAGTTTTGACGGTGAAAAGAAACGTTAGCTGTTTATTGCTAATGGACAAGTGTTATCATCTGAACTAGTGTTTTCTGCTGTATTTGTGCCCTGAGATGGTTGTAACAAACTAATTTAACTAGGTGTCCTTAATCTACGTATCTCAGACTTACATCTGCCATATTCCTCTTCATTATAACTATAAATTGGTGTCATTTATCAGGATCATTGTTCAGGTCCTTCCCACCAAAGTTGTGAGTCACGTTATGTAATTTTTTCTGGATTGTCTTTAGATGGGACGTTTGATGTATTAATGTATTTCTGATATTTTCTTTATTTTATTAACACGATTCTTTACGAACACTGATATATGTTTTTTTTGGTTTTAACTATTGTTGAGCGCAGTGTAAGTCAGTCCATAAAGATGAATCAAATATTGGTAACTGGTGATTTTTAACAAACTGTAAACATCGGAAACCTATAACAAGATCTAAAAGTCTTAGTCTTGTTATAGAAAGCTTTTTAAAAGTGCCAAACGTGTTTTTAAAAAGATGAGTTCTATATTTGTTGTATCTTCTGACCATTAATGTGAGTATACTAAAACAGCGTAAGCTTTTTGTGATGCATCACAGAACAGAAACATACAATGCAATATTCGACTGGTTTTGAACAGATTGCAGATATAGATCTTGGTATACAGACATGTTCCACAGCCGTGAGTTCTTTTTTCAATCAGGTTCATTTCTCGTAACCATTATCACTAAGGGCATCATCCCTGTTTATACGTTTACCCCACAGGTGTTGCAGAAATTTATTTAGCATGAACTATAACAGGACTTATCAAGCATAGTCAATGTGAGCTACTATTACGATTGGATGTGCTCGAAACCACAACAGTATTCCACATAAGTCATGAACCATAACAGGACCGCGATATAGACGTTTAGACTGTTATTTTCTTTTGAAGTATATGCCGAGGCATCATATAATACCCAACGTTTCGTTGTTTTCTTTTGTGGATTTAAGACACCGTTGTGAGCTAGGTAATGCACAGTAATGTTTGATTTATTTAGTCGTCGAGTATTCATGCATTAAATTTAAACGGTTTTTTAGGGTTAATCTTCCTGGCGACCTTTCCCGGAACATCCAGCCAATTGTTATCACGCTCTATGTCTGGTTTTCCATCACCGGTGATTAACAAATATGTTTTATATACACATTCATTGAACTTTGTTGATAGAATTAAAAATAATTAAGATTCAATATTTGCAAATACCAGCGACAAATATCTTAACAATACGGTCTTATTAATGGCATATTATGACTCCAATTTTTAGAAATTCATTTTTTAATTCTTTAGAATTTTCAAAATTTGGTTTAATAATGGACTTGGAACTGACAATAGTTGCACTGAATGTGCAATAATGCGTTGTAAAGGTAGCAAAACGAAAACAAAGTAGTATTTTGATTTCCATACCAAATGAATAATGATTGTACCCTTTGCAACATAGCAAGAATCAAGCAAAGATAAAAAAAATAAAAAGAAACATATGATGTTTTTTATAAAAAATATTTAAGCGATTGAAATGTAACATTTACTTTAAAAGTGCGAAATGCGAATTTCACCTTTTTTAATTAGTTTTTTTTTGTTCTTTCTTTCAGGTTTTCCAACATGTTTTTTTCAGTTATTTTGCTATCCTGAAATTCACTCCCTGAAAATTGTTAAATACTCTCTCAATTTCCCCTCATGCTATTGTTTATTGAGTGTAGATTTAATTATTTTCTATTTCATTAATATTCTTAATTACATGTAAAATTCTTTTAATAAATTTGTTTCCCCTTCTCTGAAATATACTCTCTTACGAGACACGGTTACACTTTTGCAAAATATATTGAGTGGTGTTATGAAACTAAACCGATCAACTTTTGAAGTCTCACATTTACGTGAACCCTCATAACTTGTCCGTTATAAAAAAAAGAATATATGCAGATCTAGATGATCTTCTGGTCATCTTACCTAATCCACTCATATATGCTCTTTAAGAACTATAGTGTTTATACATCTAAAAGACCATCAACTAATGTATATGTACATTTAGATGATCCATTGCTCATCTTTTATCATCCCCTCTTAAACCTTCTGTAACACCTTGAGCATATGATGTAGATGATCTCTTAGTCCTCTTATGTGATTCTTCATATACCTTTCATATGATTAGATAATTTTTTAGTCAGCTTCCGTGATATCATAATATAGGTGCATATGGTGGTTAAATTATAAGGCATATGAATGAAAAAACATTATTAAACGAGTGTATGTCTTGAGACTTGAAAATATATTTCCATTTTGTATACATACATATATATTTATAAGGATGATTGAGCATATGCACTGTTTACCAGTGACATTCACAGTGAAACTGATCATTTTCACTTCACTATAAACTCAGATGCACTTAAAACCCGACATGTACATTTTTCTGTAAATAGGTTCTTTGTGACCGGATTCTGTTCAAATTTGAATCATACAAAATTCAATATATCATAGTTACTACTTCGAATTATATCTACAATTAATTGATGAAAAATAGCAAAAATAACCAAACAAATACCCTACAGTAAAATGAAAAATCACAGAATGACTGTAAAAATCGTAACAATATGGACCATTTTTGAATCGCACTAAATCTGTATGTTCACCAGTTCTAACACTTTGTATGTCCTCCCAATTGGTTATAACAACGCAACGTAAATGCCTCTGCCTCACAGTTCTCCATTCCTTAACAAGAGCTTGCTCGAGTTCCAGCAAATTGCAAGGGCTTCTGGTCGCTTATAACATGCCTGTTCAATTCAGTGTGATGTTTAGATCTCGTGACTTGAGATGCTTGTGTTGCTAGATCTCGAGGAAGCCCTTATTCAGGAATGGAGAAATATTCCCCAAGCCTTTATGAGAAACCACGTCATAACCATGTCACAGGTGTTTATATAACACTTTGTTATAGCCATGGGAGGACACACAAAGTATAAGAACTGGTTAACATACAGATTTAGTTGGCTTCAGAGACATTTCATTTTGGTACGATATTTACAGCCATTCTGTAATTTTTCATTTTGCGGTAGCATATTTGTTTTGTAATTTTCCCTAATTTTTGTCAATGAATTGTAAATAAAATTCTACGAAATAAGTATGATATGTTGAATTTCGTATATTCAAAACTTGATCAAAATCCGTTCACAAATAACCAATTAATTCTGAAAAATGTAAGTGTCGGGTTATACATGCCTCTGAGTGAAGTCTAGCTTAATTTGAGCTTAATCTATAGACGGCACTTAATATGTTAATATGTACATGTAATATTTATCTTAATATGTGTTGCAAAAGCGATTGCATTTTCCTAATACCCTTCATAGACACAGCCATTTTTATTTGAACTAACCAATTGCATCTCGTGTAAGAAAAGTGTGAAAATGGTTCAAATTCTCGATTAAATATTTTTACAGTATACAATAAATATTTTAATTATACAATATATTTTTAGACATACAGAATATATTATTATGTTTTTCCCAAATATATTAATAGAAACAGCATCAAAACACAAGGCTATTTGATTAGTACGAATGGGCCAAAAGAGTTAATCAGATTGCCGAGTGATTTGGTGTTCTTTCTCTTTTGTATCATAGGCAAAAATAAAAACCCGTTCCCTGTTGTCACAATATGAAACCCAAGAAAATAGGAACAAATTAACAGCATCTGAATATGATATTTCTATCGCTATCCATTTCCCTTGTAGTCACAATGAGTAAATGCCCAGAAAAATGAGCCAATCAATGGGCAGTTAACTTATGCCTGCTCTCCAGATAACGCCCTGTGCATTTATATGTATAATGATTAACTCTGACACGTTTTCAACTGAAAGGTCCTCAAACTATGATACAAGGGATATTATTGCACACACATATTTTTTTCTTTGAACAAATATTTCGAAGGATTGAATAACATTAGGTTATATAAAATTAAATTCAAATTATACATCACAAATATTGAATAGAGAACACAAATTTGAATCATTGAACTTTGCAACGTTTATCATGCCGAACACCGCGTTATTATGTCAAAATTGGGTAATAAATAAGCAGATGCAGATAAAAAGTTCGGGTCGAGAGATCAGCGCATTTTTCACCCATTGTATCATTATTTAAGCATGCCTACACAAAAGTTAGCATACAAAACATAAGGTTTTTTGTGTTTAGAAACGTTTATAAAAGTTAATGACCGTTTCAACCTATTTTCTTGTTCGTCAAACGCATTTGAAAATAAAAACAATGTTGCAGTGAATTTGCAGGGTTACAGTCTAGACCAAGCGACTTTGGTCCGATTTTTACAGTATTTACACAGATTTCTGTTACTGTTTAGATAGTTGGCAAATTTCAAATAAAGTTCGTGTGTCCATTATTTCTTATTATTTACCCCGACCTTTCTAGTAAATATAATATTGAAAGGTTGCATTTTTCTTCAGCAGAAAAGCCATGGTTTGCTATTTTCCTTACTTTAGGTACCTGTGTTCAGACAGAATAAGTTTAATTTATTAAAACCTATGAAATTCATACTGAATATGTCTTATTTGATATGCATTAGAAGTCACGTTCACTTTTAGAGGACAAGCAGAGTTGACCTTTACTTAAAAACAACTGCCAGGTTTTTTAACGACACTATAAATTATATTCATACTGTGACAACCTATAGAGTGTAAAGTTTTAAACATGACATATCAACTTTGTGTGAAGTCAACACATGTTTTATTTATATTTACAAAGAGACTGTGTAGCAATTATAAATATTTTCTGACATTAAATTTGAGCATAGTATATCTTTAATTATAAAGGGAAACCCCAGATATCCCTTTGCGAAAGGTTTCAGACACGAGCGACCACCTGCCTAAAACCACCGAGCTTCCGTAAAATAACATGATAGACTCCTCACATACACAGAATCCAACGTCATAACAGAATATAACACAGATGTCAAGAAAATGTGATTTGAAGTCGGCGACCGAATCCCGACTCAGCCACTTTCATGTACCTCTATGGAAAAGATACTGGAATTGTCTTACCTTAATTTATATTCTATATCTTTCAATATTGTTTTCCTTTTCAGAAACATGAAAGCTTCACTATATGATATCTGAAATAGAATAAAACGACTATTAATTGAATGATCACAAAATAATCTTTACTTCAACAAATAAGCATTCAAAATTCCAAGTTTATGATTTGAACAAAGTTCTTTCATAATAACAACATACTTTCTGTACAATGCTACACAGTGAATGCTCTCTGATTCGGAAGAAGAATATTTTTTAACATTGTCTTTTTAAAAATCTTTAATTTTGGTTTTCGTCACCGTATCAATTTGAACAACTTTTGGTAGAAATTCATAACAACTTTGGTAGAAATTCATGCTAATTTCATCAAATTTGGCCAAGTAGTTACTGAGCGGATGTCAGTAGACACGTATGTAGGCGACAAACGAACGAATAGCCATCGGGCCAATAGGTACACTAGTTGAGATGAGATTAATAGATCTATATTTTATTCATACGTTTTACCTGGTACTAGTATATAGAAAATATAAGGTTCTTATCTGGGAATGTACTGTAGCAAAATCTGATCAAAGTCGCTTGGTCTAGATAGTGACCCTGCAAATTCACCTCGCTCTTTACTGTAACGTTGATTATTTGGTATACATAGCATATACAGTTATCAATTAAGTCAATATCTCCTTTTTGTAAAGCCTCTCAATATGTGTTGAATTTGTGCATGGAATTTCATATATTTTAGAATGCAAAGGGTATGAATTGACCAAAGATGCCCCAATTTAACCGCTGGTTCACAAACATTCGAAAGGTATATCTTACCTTTGTTAGAACTCAGCCATTTCTAGTTGAAAATAAGGGACTTGTTTTCATTTTGACAAGGGTTTTTTAATTTTAAAAAGTTAAAAGATATTACCAATTTACTTTAAAAATGTGGCTTTTAAGTTAGATAAATAAATAAAACATTATTTTGTTGCTGAATTATAAAATGTGAGTTGTTAATAACCAATAACTTTAAATAAAAAAAATAGACAATTGATAAGAAAATATATTCATTATTGAACCTTATACTTGTTTCTTTGAACATTGTGATGGAAAAAAAACTAACAAAAGTATCTGGGTAAAAACGAGAGGTAATCCTTTTACATTTTAATAGCTCGTAACACATTATTTATAAAGGCAACCTTGCATAAATCACGTTGGATACCTATAGAAAGTACTGAGAAAAAATGTAGCATTTCACGATGTATCAATGATGCATGATGATTCATATTTATAATTAAACAAGCCCCCTTTATGTGCATAAAAACAAGATACTGATTAATTGGGTAACAACATTCTTCCCCACTCTCCTGTGCCAATAGGGAAAAACATTGGGTCAGTCCAATTAAACATTTCAAGGGATCAACTAAATAAAAATTCTCGTCACAAACATACGCATTAGCTATAGCACACCACGTTGCAAAGTTATACAGTCATTACAATTTGACAACACTTGCTATCTTTTTCCAATAGTTTTGAAAAAAAAAACAGTAAGATATCGCAAATGCCAAACATTAAAGACACATTTTCAACACGTAACAAAGGGGCATTTCAAAAACTTGAAAAAAGCTATGTAAATGTATATGACAAAAATACAGACAAACCTTTACAATATGAACACATACAACCTGAACATACCGGAGAAGAGAACCGTGTTAACGATTTATTCAAAATAATTCTAAGTATAGAATACCTTCTCATCAGTTGCAATATGAATTTAAAAAGAAAATAGTTTTCTGGAGACCAAAACAATTCACATATTCAACATGGAACATGTTAAACGTCACAGAAGCATTCTTTCCCACATACAATTCTCAGATAATAACTCATCAACACACCACCCTTTTCAATAAGATAAAGAGGGGTCAGCTCAAAACATTCCTAACTTTGATGAAACTTAACATGAAACCAACAGCAGCAGCATAGCTCACAATTTTGACAATAAAACAGAAATAAGTACTCTAATTTGCCTTCAAATACATCAATGCAACAAGATGAAAGGCATTAATTTATGCCTTACAACAAACACATACATAAGGAAACAACAGTACAATGTTTAATACCGTCAGCATAAGTTGCCTTGCTATGACAAAATGGTTGGTCATTTCATGCACCTATTAAACAGTCAACATTCAACCTTGAAAGAAATTTTAAGCTACTTTAAAATGGAGAAATGAATTGTAATGACACAAACAAACTTTACCCAGATAAAAGGCAGTCAAGCCTTAACACTGGTTAAAATTCCACAACAAAGTTTTCACTTCAGCCAACATATAGCTAAGGGACCTGATAAGTTTGATGGACATTTTGCTAAATCGCGAGATTACCAGATACATTTGAAAATGTTGCAAGCTGGTAGAAATGGAATGAAATTAAGAAAGCACTACAGTTAGTTATGAGCCTAAGTGGATCTGCACAAAACTTTAAATGATTTAAATCCAAGACCAACATTAAGCTACAATACTAAGTCAATATGTAAAGGCGTAGATTCAATCAAGCAGAACGTGAAATCGCTTTCCGCTGTGAGTTCAGAAACAGCAAGCAAACTTAATCTGAAAGAACTGTTGACTATGGAAAAGCAAAAGCATACCCTTCTATTTAAATGGAGGCAAGGGAAGTAATAAACATTATTGATAAATTCATAAATGGCATTTTAAAGCCAAAAATAATGAGCTACGTGTAATACAGACATACATTCACTATTGATGCTGCGATAGCCTTAGCTGTTGACTTTAAAGCTTTCGATGGATCACATACCATTCTAAGGAAACCAACGTTTGCATCTGATGCATCTTCACTTCAGAATGTAATTCTGTTTCAAAAAAGGGAAGGAATCTACTACTTTAGATTAAATTGCCTCCCTCCTAAAAACATTAAATGAAACTTTTTTAAAAAGAAACAGAAGTAGGTCAAAATGTAAAGATATTAATCCTGAAATAGAATGTTACAAGTGCCACAAGAACAATCATATTGCTTCTAGGTGCCCGATATTAGTTTCGAAAGAAATTGCACCCAAAGTTAAGCCTGTAAGGATACTTAAGAAAATGGGTATATAAATCATTTTGAATATTAAAGAGAGAACATGTTTATATGCTAACATTCACACAAGTTTCCACTGTTATGATGCACTGATTCACTAAGTTCTTCATTCCAGCACATTCTGTCAGTTATTATAGCAATTAAAATTTGGCCTTGATCTTAACAAACTTGAAAAGGTTTCGCATATTCAAACAGCAGCAAATGGTTGTGACCTGGAGGTTTGACAACATTGAGTAATTGATAAAGAATTGTTCTCTTTTGAATTTTTGTTGAAATATTGGCTCTTATAGGAGACTTTCTTGAAGATTTTGATGTCAATTAAAAATTTTGAAAAGGCTGTATGATAATAAGTAAACACAAGATCAAGTTGCATAGATAAGAAAATAAGAAAATTTGTTGTATCAGTTTAGGTAGAACTGTTATACAAGCAGAGATACAAGCAAAATCAGAGGTTGAATAAAGGATGTATTAAGTGATCCAGAAGGGTGTCATAAAGCCTTACAAAATTATGTTAAAAAGGGTATTCTGATGACAAAAACTCTCATTGTCCTATATCTCTGATTAATTTGAGAAGCAGAAGCATCAAAATAGATACGAATTTTACAATAGGAAGTATTTAATCAATTATTGCTATCGTTTTTGATGGGAAATTCCGAGACACATTTGCAGAATTTCTTCCAGAACATCTACAACATCAATAGATGAAGGCTCTGAAACAATAAATGAGAAGGAAAAGCATAAATACTTTTATTTGAATTCAATGATATATTTGTAGATGCTTCCGGAAACGTTATAAAAACTAACCAAATGATACATGGAATAGAAATGGGAGATTCAAATCCTACATAAATACCTAAACGGAGAGTACCTATAGCTCAAAAACATATTTTTTAAACATATAATTATTTAAAACAAAATGATAATTTAAAATAAAATTGAGCACAGCTCAAATTCTTGGGCAGCACCTGTTGTATTTGCTTAAATGTATGATGATACAATTATATTTGTTAGGACTATAGAAAGTTAAGATATTAAACTTAAAGGATGCTTACCCTTTAACAAAAATAAAAGATGCACTTGCCACTTTGTCAGGCGCCAAATATTTCTATACTTTAAACCAAGCATATGTGTACTGGCAAGTTAAAATATCTGACAAAAATAAACGATACGCAGCATTCAATGCGCATTTGGGTTATTTTCAATTTCAGGCCATGCCTTTTGGTAATATGCCTTTAACCTTTGAATGATTGATTAAATCATTGCTCATGGAAAATCAATGAAATTTGTTCACTTTGTGCTGCAAATGTATGCCTTAACCTAAACATTGCCACTTATAAAAAAAAACAAGTGCAACACATAGGACATGTAGTTTCAGAGAAAAGCATATATTGTAACCCTGGCAAAATTTAAGCTATTTTAAACTGGCCTGTGACAAAAAAAAAATTAAAAAGTTTCGTCGGTCTTTTTTCATATAACAGAAAATGTTTAATGAGTATGCTCATCTCACATTTCCACTTAATTAAATTTAATTTAATGAGCATTTATGTGGGCTCCATTAGGAATCTTAATGCCACATAGGGTTACAACTTCTTCGAATGTTACAGGGGGACATTTACAAAACGGCCCACAGCGGCTATACCTGACGTCATAAGAAAGGTTGGTCGTTTGTCGCCAATGAGAACCCGGCTACTCAAAGAGAAATGACTTCAAGATTGGGTGTGTCAAAGGGAACTATCTGTAACATTACAAGTATGAAAGCAAAATTACGAAGACGGTGGAAAGTTTATCAACTTAACCACTTATGATGTAGCATGAGGCACATCCCCATCTAAATGTGGATTGTTTAAAATCAAAATCATCTCTTTTACCTTAGATAGTTAATTAGTTAATATAAATTTTTAATGATAGGAATGTTTAAATCTTAAAAGTTAGTCTTATTCTATTTACGTTCACTGGGATATATTTTAGTAACCATTTGCTCAAAATAAGGATTATTCATGTTTAGGAT